CAGGGTTGACTCAGCCTTCCATCCTTCCGAGGTGGGTAAAATGAGGACCCAGATTGTTGGGGGCAATATGCTGACTCTCTGTAAACCGCTTAGAGAGGCCTGAAAGGCCTATGAAGCGGTATATAAGTCTACTGCTATTTGCAACTTTCCCAGCCGGCTTCTGACAAAGTCAGTGTGGGAAGCTGGATTCAATTAATGAACACATAATTCACTGCGATAATTTGCTAACATCCATGACAAAAAAAGCTTGCAAAATCAAACACAGCTCACTTAACAATCACCTGCAACAGAAATGCTGCTCCCAGTTGTTATAAATTGAGGATTATTTGTATTCACACGAAGTAAAAGTGAGGTTATATCCTGACTGTCAAATGTTATTTACAGTTAAATTTGATCCAAACTCATATAAAGATTGACCATTGTATATGAGTTAAGACAGGGAAGGAAGAATGGTAATGATTGTAATAGTAATTAATAGTAATTATTTTTGCATGTCCCCATCCTGAATTGTTGATATTTCAGATTTTAAGTATTTGACATTCTGAAATAACATTTGATCTCATGTTCAAAGCCAAGGAATACAAGATATTTGTATACCAGCAAAACTCCCACCTAGCCTAGGCAGTTCACAAATAAAACATAAAAAGCAATATAGTGGTAAAGTAGAACAAAAGATGGCAAAAATTGTGCAACTACAAAAGCAGACGTGATGCAATGAATTCCTTTATGATCTACTCACAGCAAAGACATTTTCATTTAATCAAGCTAAACCCAACTCAAAGAACCTTTTTAGAGCTGTTTGGTATGTGACTCAATGTTGAATCCTATCAGTATACTAATATCATATGAGGTTGATTATACCTAGTTTGGGCAGTTTTTCATTAGCAAAATGATCTTATGGTCCCTATGCTAGGCTCATCTAGGGCAGTGGTCCCAAGCCATTTTGGCACCAGGACCAGTTTCATAGAAGAACAATTTTTCCACGGATCTGAGGGGGTGGTGGTTTCAGTTTTGCGCACTCGCCCACCGTTTACCTTCAGGTGAAGGACCACTGCCTAACAGGCCATGGACCAATGCCAGGCCATGGAACAGAGGTTGGAGACCTCTAATCTAGGGCCACATTTGTTAAATGAATCACTGCAGTTGTTAAATTAATAACATGGTTTTTAAGTGAATCTGGTTTCCCCAATTACTTTGCTTGGCAGAAGGTCGCCAAAGAGTGACCCCGGGACACTGCAACTTTCATAAATGTGAGTAAGTTGCCAAGCATCCGAATGTAAATCATATGACCATGGGGATGCTGCAATGAGCATAAGTGTGAAAAATGGTTATGTCAGTTTTTTTAGTGTCATTGTGACTTTGAATGATCACTAAGTGAACTGTTGTAAATTGAGGATTACCTGTACTAGGGTCTGCTCAGTTATTTGACTGCTGAGGATAAGTTTTTTCAATTGTTTGTTCCAGTCCCCTAATAGAGCCTTCGTAATTGGCTTTTTATATGGTAGCTGTGGGACATGCTTCAGATATATAGATATTCCAGGATTCCACAGCATGGACATTGAGTGATGCTTCCTGGAGGGACCCAGGTTACCCTGTTTGAAACTGACTCTTTGGTTGTTAGCTGCATCCTGTGTTCAACTCAGGATGTTCATAACGATGTATAAAAATATACAGTATGTTGTTTAGGCTCATGTTGTGTATAGTCTATTCCGTACTATTGGGCTACTTTTTGTAGTTTAAGCCATGGATACTTTAGCATTAAAAACTAATTTGACTTTCTCTAATGGGATCTATATCACAAAATAAATAGCCTCTGGGGTTGAAATAGAGCTCTTCCCTTTTTCAGTTTATTTATTTACAACTTTTAGTTAATTTAGTTTTTATGCTAAAATTATATCTGTCATCCTTTAATATTTAGAGTAATACTTATATCCCATGTAAACCAACAGGAACTATTTATACGGAGAATACAAAGTTATACAGGCTGAACTGCTATTTTTGATCTGATTCAGCAGCTTTCCTATGAAACAACTTTTCCTCTTAATGTTTTTATTAACAGGTGGTTTGTGTTTGATACTGAAACAAAGGATTTGGTCACTGTACATACAGATGGAAATGAACAGCTGTCCACAATGTGTTACTCACCAGGTTTGGAGTTGTTTAATTTGGCAACATTTAATCAGTTGGTTAATCCAAAAAGAATTTTCATAACATAGTTATTAATCTCCATAAATAACAGTTTTGCCATTCTTGTTTCTGCTGCTCAGAATATCTGGAAATATAAAAAAGTTAATAGTGAATATATTTTGATTTGTTTAATCAGAATACCATTTCAATTGAAACAAACATTTCTTACTTTTTTCATCAATTGCAAGTTTGTATCATTTCATTTTGGCATAATGAAGCTACCGTGACTTTTTTTGATTTAAGTGTGGTGTCTAAGCTCTTGTACCATGTTACTAGAATCCCTTTGAAAATAGTAGAATAATGAAGTGTTGTATCAAAAATCCATATGCATCAGATTTGTCCTAACCTAAGATGAACTTTATGCTAGAATTCTCTGGAGGTAGAGCTGGATAGCTTGAAGTGACATAAAATATGGTTTTTTTATAAGCCGCAGGCTTATTGCGGAACCTAGAGTGGGATGGAACCCAGAGTGTCTTGTTTGATTGCTTGTCGCCAGGAGAGATTAGGGGGTGGGGGGTGTATTGTTTTTACTCTTTGTATATTGGGTTTATATTTTTCACTTAGAATCACTGAAAGTGAGTGGGCAGCTATATAAATTATCTAAATAAATAAGCAAATAGAATTTTAATAGAATTTAATCATATTTCCTTGTAGTAATGAGAAGCTTGCCAGGGCATATCCTAATCACTTTTGGAAACCAGATACCTCAGTATCCAATTGCTGCTATGACTATATGTCTTTTGCCCATTTGTCACTGGTGGACCATGCTGAAAGCTTACTTTCTATGTTGACTCAGCGCAGTTGACTTGTGCATTCATCCCTTATGATCCAAACCACCAAGTATTGCTGTTTTCATTCATTGATCTGAATGAAATATAAGTAACCAATTAATTAATTGTATATAGCTGTCCAGCTCACCAATGGTGACTATGGGGAGCAAACCAGAATAAATAAGAATAAATAAAACATACAATATAAAAATCTTATTAATAAATATCATAATAGCAAAAATACAGATTGCCCCTCAAGCAGCTAAGCAGGTCTTAAATTTTCTAAGCTTGAATAAAAGCTCTTGGTGAAATATATGCTATTAGTATATTATAATCCTAATATGATAACCATAAAAACCTCAAATTGTATTATGGTGGGTTCCTCAAGGGCAGTATCTATAATACAATTCCTTGTACAAAATATGAATAATAAAATTAAACAAATCCTATGATTAAAAAAATCAGCTAAGAATATGTTTTTAAAAAGAAATCATCACAGCTCAACACCATACCCCATAAGTCTAAAAACCTTTGTAAATCTTTAAGGAGTGAATATAACTGTCAACTCTCTGTAGACATTCCATGCAGAGAGTTGGCAGAGCCGGATCTCAGATTACAGTAGCTGGGTTGAGATGAATGAAACTATTGGATAACGTGATTTATGACACAGACTGAAGGGAGGACAGGAACACGGGCAAAGTTCAGAAGCAGATAAAGAAAGCAAAAAAGATGGCTGCGAATAAGAAATGCCTAATGAAGAATGCCTAATGAAGCTGTTAATAAATTACAGCTTTTTGTATTACAGTATCGGGTAGCTTATTATGAAGCCAGCATCGTTAGGGTGCTTTACAAAAACAAAGAAAATGTCATTGAAATGATTTATATCAATTGATAAACTTAGATGTCTTCATTTCCTGAAATAAGGCCAGATTTAAGCTGAAACATGGAAAAACTCATGTAGGAAAAAGGGATCTTTTGCTAGTGCCTTATTAGATGTAATCTTTCTTCCAGATATCTTTTAAAAGTGCTTGCTCAAGTAATAATTCTGCTTCATCAGTATGGTTACAGTTTTATTGTTTCTGTTTTGCAGATGGCAACTTCTTGGCAATAGGCTCTCATGACAATTGCATTTATATATACAGTGTTAGTGACAATGGAAGAAAATATAGTAGAATTGGCAAATGTTCAGTAAGTCATAATCTTATTACATACAAGCTTATTTTTGTATTTATTTAATATCCCGTTGATTTATTTAATATCTTGAAAGTAGCAAAATATTTGAATAATAAAAATATTTGAAAATATTAATTCTATTGAAAGATTAATGTATATTTAAATGATTAAATATTCTTTATAATTGTGCCTATCCTGGGGAACAGTATCTCTCCCCTAAAATGTACACGCTTCAACTTTGTTAGCCTTTTAAAAGGCCTAAAAACATGGTTCTTACTCAGGCTTTAGGATAGAATGTTAGTGATGTCCTGCACTGATTGAGGAGTTGAATAGAGTGAGTTTTTTGACATTTTTTTGTTTGCATTACTTCCAGGTAGACAGTAACAATAATTTGGGGTTCAAAAACAAAAGAGTAAATAGTCAAGAATTTTTTGCATTTATGAACCAATAATTAAAATAATTTTGAAATTGGAAAATTAGTTACTGATTTCCCATTCAAATTATACAGTCAGGATTATTATAAAGTAAATACTCAAGGCAAATACAAGTTTTTAGGTCAAAGTATAATGGTTTGTGAGAAAGATGTTGGGAGACTGGACAAAAAGATGCTGCCAAGAGAATGGTCAGCTAAGAAACAGCTTAGTCCATAGTTGGATAGTGGATGGGAGATATCCTCCCTTTTTTATTTTTTATTTTGGACTGCAAAAGAGACGAGTGGGTGAGAGAGAAATATACTTGCAGACTTGCAAGATTCTGTCATTGTAGCTTTACAAATAGTATTAAGTCATCTGGCCATGTTTCCTATCTGGTTTGCCCCAGGAGGGTGAGTACCTTTTGGTTCTTTTGATATTTCAAAGTGAAAAAAGGGGTTAGTTTTTTAGTCACTCTACTGGAAACATTCCACAACTTCTGGTTTGTTGCAAGATGTAACTATGTATAATGTTATGCTGTTGGAATTAATACAATGCATCTCTTCATAGGGTCATTCCAGTTTCATTACTCACTTGGATTGGTCTGCTAACTCTCAGTATCTTGTGTCTAATTCAGGGGACTATGAAATCCTATACTGTAAGTAACAAATAGTATATTGCCTTGAATACAGACTTTGTTCTTTAGTACCAAGATTCGATTACAGAGAAGATTATCTTTGGTATTTTAGTTTTCAGTTAGTGTTGTCCTAAAGCTTTATCATTAATGTTACGTTTATTTTCATTCCCCATTCTTTATTCTTAATAGGGGTTCCTTCAGCTTGTAAGCAAGTAGTAAGTGTTGAAACCACTAGAGATATAGAATGGGCTACTTACACATGTACTCTAGGATTTCATGTTTTCGGTAAGTACCATATATGACATTCAGTACTGCCATCTATAGGCAATTTATTATATTTATAATGTTGGGGGCATACCTTTTCATTCATCTCTTATAACATGTTAAGGCTCTTTTAATTTTGAGACTCCTTGTTTTATAGTATGATTTTTTTAAATTGATTATTCCTGGCTATAGTATTAATATCTGTTTCTATTCCATGCTTGTATTCTTCATAGTTAAGGGTACATGATCAATTTAATAGCACTACTACTGTTATTACTACATTGTAATCAACATAAATTCCATTTTTCTTTTTTTACAGCAGCATATTTGGTCTGGTGTCATACGTCGTGCTAAGCCATAATGACTTTGTATTGGACCATCTTACTCTAACTACCATTATTTATAAACCTTAGCTTATATTATATAATTTAAATTAGCTATTGTCATATATTGAAAAATACACGGTTTAGTCATGATATATTTACACAGTCTATGTTTTCTAAACCTATCTAACAAAACTTTTTTTTCATTTAAACCAGTGCTATATCTCAGCACATGTTTCAGTCTCTGTTTTTATCTGGGAGATCCAGATTCTGATAGGTGCCAAGAAATGGGATCTGGATTGTTTGATGTCATATTTTAAGCAGTTCAGAAATATAATGCTGATAGATTTGTAGTTTTGGCAAGAAGTGGGATCTTCAAAAAGTTGAATATATAATTGATTATTTCTTGTTTTAGGTGTGTGGCCAGAAGGTTCAGATGGCACAGATATAAATGCCCTTTGTCGCTCACATGAAATAAATTTATTATCAACTGGTGATGACTTTGGCAAAGTACATCTCTTTTCTTATCCATGTTCACAGTTTAGGGTAAGGCACTAGCTATATTAGAGACTATTTGCATAAGTTGTTCTGATTAAAGCGTTCATACTATTTGATTTGAATATTTTGAAGAAGGTATCTTTTGTATTCTGCCAACATCAATTTAACATTGTTTCAGTTAATATTTTAATAATTTGATATACGAAATTACATTTATAATTACATTTGTTTCTTTCATTGAATTTCATGCAGATTTAGATAATACTATATCTATAACAATTTATATCACAGTCATTCAGTAAATACATATATTGGTCTATATAGGTTTCCTCATCAGCATTTTAAAATGTTATCAAATGATATTAATTAATTTAGATAAAGCTGTTCACTAAAGAATTACAGAACAATTCATTTAATAAATTACAAAACAGAAAACATTAAAAGAGTTGCATGCCTGAAATAACTTAATTATTTGATATCTGTCTTCTCAAACAAACTAGGAAATGGGCTTACACCAAATAGCAATAGCACTTAGACTTGGATACTGGTTCATAGTGCTTTATACAGCACTCTCTAAGCAGTTTACAGTCAGCATATTAACCCCAACAATCGGGATCCACATTTTACTGATCTTGGAAGGATGAACCTTGAACAAAGAAACTGAAATCCTAGCAGTGAGCAGAGTTAGCCTGCACTACTGCATTCTAATCATTGTGCCACCATGGCCATCAATGTTATAACCATTCCTCCAATTTTAAATATAAAATTGGTTTTCTTCATTTTTTTATAGCTTTCAAAATATATCCTAAAATTCCTTAATGAATCTGATATGTTACATATTATGGTGTGCATTTTCTTATTTTTAATGTAGTATTCACTTCTAGGAAATATATTGCTCTATTAAAAAAGATAAATGTAACTCCTGTGGCCTTGCAACTATGTAAATTGGCTTACTAATTCTTAGTCTTATCAGTGAACAAGTGGCCATAGATAAGAATACTGATTTGAAACATTAGAGACAAAATCAACGTTCCAACGGAAAGCTTGTTTAAATGTTTAAATTTAGATTTAAACATTTAATGCCCTGGCGTGCAGTAATGTTTTTTTTTAAAGCAAATTGTTCTGGGACCAATGCAAATTATGTTACATAATCTGGTTGCCAATCAAAGAAGGAGTTCCCACATTAGAAGCAGTGAGAAGCAAATGCATTTGAAAACAATGCATTTGTCTGTCTATGGAGATTCTCAGTCATCCAGGTCATGATTATCTCAAAGGTGCTTTTTCAAGAGGCAACCAGACTTTCTGGTTTTTCTTTGAAGACGTTTCACTTCTCATCCAAGAAGCTTCTTCAGCTCTGATTGGATAGTGGGGAATGTCAGAAGAAGCTGAAGAAGCTTCTTGGATGAGAAGTGAAATGTCTTCAGAAAGTCTGGTTGCCTCTTGAAAAAGCAACTTTGGGAAAATCCATTTGTCTGTGTACTATATCTTCCTTTTATACTGGACTAATATCCTGGTAGAGAGTTGGTATGGTCCATACCATCGGTATGGTAAGAAGAAAGAGAGAGAATCTGAGCTCTAGTCTCCCGTTAGGCCCAAAGATAGTTGGGTGACCTTGGGCCAGTCTCTTTTTTCTGAATCCTAGCAAGTAGGCACAACAAACAATAGCAGTTAGACTTATATACTGCTTCATAGGGCTTTCAGCCCTCTCTAAGCGGTTTACA